TAATAACTACGAAAAAAATGACTCTGGAGACAACAACCACAAAGATGAATGTAACCTTAGTGATCGAAATATTTTGTCCTCCCACCAATCCATTGTCAAACATGCTGGCCGAATTCCTAACATTCGGCATCAGTCTATCTTCGAACGTGAACTGGAGCCATCCGTTTCTCTTTCTGGGTTCTCACTAAGCCGTCAGCAGAGCTTCGAATCTGGCTGCAAAGTTGGATCCAGCCAAACCAGCTCAGCCAGGAAAACTAGGATACGACACGGGAGACAACAGTCTGCAAAATGGCGAAAGGGCACCGAAATAAGTGGCTGTAAAGTTGGCTTTGATGATCGAAGACGTCAATTATCTCAGCTTATGCGCCGAGGACCTACAGTGTTGCGGTTTGGTCAGCTAAATTGGCTGACTAACAATAATCAGGCTTCAACGTTCGCCCTCCACGTACACCCACCTCCAAGATTGTCGCGTGTACGCGCGCCACGGGCCCCTGATGAGGAGGTCGATGAAATAATGGCCATGGCTGGCAGAGCTCGGTCGCTAGGCCAAATTTTGTACCTACTGAATGAAAATTAAATGATTCAGCGAGTCTTCCAGCCAAATTACTCGACTGAGTCATTATTTAAATTGAGTTATACATACACGTATGCTTTTGTCTTATTTTGTACGAATCCAGATACATTATCAATTATCGCTGACATTTCTTCTTTTTTTGTTCCTCAGTGTACATGACACTTATTTATCTATTCTTGCAATCTTGGGTACATAATCATATATTTTTGTATCATCAATAAGTATATGATTTTTTAATTGATATCTTTTCGTCAAAAACAGCGAATTTTTATGTCTTAAATATGTTTCATCGTGATTCCACACCCTTACCAGAGCCTTTATTTATGCGATTTCCTAACAAATTTCATCTTTATTTTTTGCATTATACTGGACATTACAAAATCCTGTTCTTAACACTTAAAGGTTATATCCTTGAATATTTATATAAATTTGTTGATCATAAACGTTTTCCTCTTTACCTCATAAAGTCTTCTACTAGAATTTCATTGATTGTAATCTCCTTTGAAAGCCAATTTGTTGTCATAGTCATCGACCAGCTTCAAATTTGCTTTCGAGTCTGTTTTTTCCGTTTTGAATCCACAAGGTCTCTCTTGATTCCTACTTTCGGCCGTCTTTCAATATGAATTCGTTTCACTCATGCTTTCCTGAAGTGTTTACCATGTTCCTTTAGCGATATTTTTGGTAGAACATTACCCCCACCTCCATTATTTCGCGCTTTTAACTGTATCCTGGCCTGACTTTATCATCTAAGTCTCTTATTTATTTGCCGATGGAGCTTTGATATCCTGCAACGTTAACCAATAAGTTTACCGTGTTTATGCAGAATAATTCGCTGCCCTCTTCAGGGCATTCTTTTTGCCTTAATTTAAAGCATATATTTTGTTTCTCATTAAGCTCTTTCTAGAATTTCTTGACCATCTCAATGATGATTCATTTTATTGTGTTATTCGGCTGTACTTTTACTGGACTTCAAACCTGTTCTGCTTTTTGTCGAGTTTTCGGGTGTCAACCCTAATTTCCCTCGTATTTACATACAGTTATGTGCAAGGGCCTATTGATACGTGAAGGTATTGTTTGGTATCTAAAATGCACATTTTTTTCCTGTTTGAATTTACGCAACGCATTGGGTGCGTCTAGCATTCTAAGTCATAGATATTCTCTTTT